TATACGAAGATATATATACAGATTGAACGAAATAAATTCGGAACATAGGGAACATCACGTATTTCGGCTCATTTCTGCTGTAAGAGGTTGGCCAAAAAAAGGTTGTCAAATAATTATATTATAAAAACCCAATACTTCTGCGGGCTGCTGGATTCTGAACTCATAAAAATTGAAAACTACACATAAATCTACGATTTTATTATGCTGTCAAACCACTTATAGTCCAGGAAATGAAGCATTTCACCTCGTAATTTTTTCGTCCTGCGTGGATTAACTTGAAATTTTAACAGAAGGTAGGTAATAGCCTAAGGATCAAAATCTATATCGAACCAAAGTGCGCCAAAGCCTTGGGGGTGGTTGCCACCCCATCCCGGGGGTGAAAATTTTTTTTACGTTTTAACTACAGGTTTCGATTAAAAAAGTGATTATAAACAAAAAATGTTCTATACATTTTTTTTTGTAAAACTGATATTTTTCAAGTTATTCGCGATTGAAAGTAACAACTTTTAGACGAAAAAATCGACGTTTTTAATCGATTTTTCGCGAATACCTCGAAAATGGTGTATTTTATCAAAGAAATTGTAGAGAACAAATTTGTAGCTTTTAAAAAGACAAATACAATTCATTTTTTAAAATGTTTTTGCGATATAATGGAACCGAAATACGGCCTATCAATGTTCAGCTGTTTTCTTCAAATGCCAAATTTGAAAGATTCAAAGTCAAATATCGGGAAAATGATGCATTTTTGGAAGAAAACTCACGCAACCTTTTTTAAAGAGCATAAATAGATCTATCATAAAAAAAGACTCTAGCTCAAAAATTGAGTGAGTTATGATGAAAATAAGGCCAATACCTAATTTTTTTACGGAAAAGTCGATGAAAAACAACCCCCTAACCACTCCCATAATTAAAATCGATCTTCACCCTTCTGCAATTCTCTTTGTACATGTATTGTTAATACGTCCAAGAAGTTTGACCCATTTAAAATCCTTAGTTTTAGAAAAAGTACAGCTTAAAGCGAGAAACGATTTACAATTTCATATTTTTTACCCTTCTTTTTTTAAATATCCCCGAAAATACTGAATATATGAAAGAAATAAAAATGTACTAAATTGTAGCTTTTTAATGACTAAAATTTTCCTTTATTTAGATTTATTTTACAATGAATGTTTGGCGAGATATAGCCGTTTAAAGCATCGATTTACGATCAAGCACCATCTTTTTCGAGCCCTTTAAACTCATCCCATTTAAAATCCAAGGGTTCCAAAGAGATTTAATTCACAGATCCTTGTAGCTCTTAAAAACCTCTACAAAATCGTTTTTGAGGAAACATTCTATCTATAATATTATAATTGTTTTACCTATAAATGTAAATATTTTCAACTATTTATGTAAATGTATAAGAATATATGGTGCCTTTTTATGTTGATAAATTTTTTTGTATTTAATTCTACTTTTTTCAATTTATATCTATTAAATTAGTTTATAAAACTGCACCTTTTACAACTGCAATGTTGTAAAGGGTGATTTTCAAAAGTTGAAAAGTTGCAAAATTTTGGCAAAAAATTGTTTTTTACCTATAGCACTCATAACAATTGATTTTTAAGGGTTGAAAATGCATGAAATTGTATTTTAAAGTATAAAAAAATCACTATTTAACTAATCCAAACCAAATTTCACTCATCTTAAGATTTGTAATGTTATTTTACAATTTTTGAAAATTAGGGGTAGTTTTCACCCCTAAGAACGATCAGGGTTCATCAATAACTAAATTCAGAGTTCATCAACTAAAAAGCAGAGGGCGAGTTAAGCTTAATTCCAATTTTTTATGCAAATCGTTCCAAGGCGAAATCATTTTCTTCGCATTACTAATTTTTTTACATTAATCTCTAACAAGGGTCACTTTGTAAGGGTTGAAATATGATGGAACTTTATTCAAAAGCACGAAACTATCATTATTTAATTAATTCAAACCAAATTTTACCCATATTCAGGTTTAATATGTTATTTTATAATTTTTGACAATTAGGGCTAGTTTTCACCCCTAAGAACAATCAGGTTCGTCTACATGACATAAACTATAAAGCAGCGGGTGAATTGAGCTTAAATCCAAATTTTTATCCAAATCGATATAAGGCGAAATCATTTTTTTAGAATTAGTAATTTTTTACATTAATCTCTAACAAGGGTTGCTTTTTAAAGGTTGAAATATGATGGAACTCTATTCAGAAGTATAAAATAATAATTATTTAACTAATTCAAACCAAATCTTACCCATATTCAGGTTTAATATGTTATTTTATAATTTTTGACAAATAGGAGTAGTTTTCACTCCTAAAACCATTCAGCGCACTTCGGTTCGATATAGATTTTGATCCTTGAGCTATCACCTACCTTCTGTTAAAATTTCAACTCAATTCATGCAGGACGAAAAAATTGCGAGGTTTTAACTTTTTTCGAGCTTCATTTCCTGAACTATTAAAAACTTCCTTAGACAAGCAACATTGTTACACAAACAACATTGTTGCGAGACAGATAGTTGAACGATATTTTATACAATGTCTATACTCAGGTATGGATTTATTTTTGTCCAAGTTTTATATTGGTCCACTATTTCAAATGCAGTTCAAACAGACATATATTAAATTGTATGTTCCGTTTTAAATTCGTTCTATCTGTATACAAAAGACTAAACTGTTATGGGCCCCTGCAGAGAATGCCTGAAAATACATGACCGAAAAAAAAACAGAAAAATGGACCTCGCCCACTAGAAAAAAACGAGGTAGACCGAGACGGTCCTGAAGACTAGATTATTAGAGAGGCAATGACCATCAGAAATTTAAAAACTAAAGATTTCTTTGATAGAAAATGTTAGAAATTAGGATGCAAGAAATGGTGCGAGCTGTAAAAAATATTTGTTAAATTTTAATTAAATATAAAAAGAACAATGTACCATCGATCCTATAAAAAAGAAAAGTCAGTCTGTTCCCCTAATGTATACCTAACTCGTAGGAAAATTATTTAATCAAGATAACAGGTTAATTTATTCGGTGAGATAGGTAGTATTTCCACCATTAAACGCAAAAAAACTTATTGTGTCATATTTTATTGTTCGTGAAAGAAATGGTGCCTAACGTTATATTTTACGTAACACCTTATATTTTAGAAAATTATTTTATATATTATACCTATTTTTATTGTGATAAAACAGAAGCATATTACCCCTACATAGGTACTCAAATTCTAAGCAGCTTGTTATCAGTGATTCACAGTTACAAAGAATATCAGTTTAAATATTTAGATACTTAATATAAAAGTAAACATTAAAAACGGGTTGTACCTCATACTTGAGATATATATTTTTTTAATTTGTGTATGTCGTTTATGATTCATTGTTATGGTTCTCTTCATTTACCTGTACATATGAAGCCAGAAAATAAAAGTGATACTAAATATAATACTCGGTTCAATAAATAATTAAAAAACAATGTAGAAATAAAATAATACCATAAATGTATTTATCGGGAAAAGATATATGTAATAAGTTCTCTATCCATCCAATGGCACTACAGCCCATGTCGGGCATTGGCGTCCTTCATTAAACTTCTCCAATGATCTTGTTCTGCTGCTGTTCATTTCCATAAACGTGTTTTTAGGAGGTTTTTAAATTGATGGAAAGGCACCGTAATGAACAAAATAACGAAAACAAGTACTTAGAATATATGGAGTATAATATAGAATATATAGACTGGTTATAAACATGAGCAAAACTAAGCTAATGATCATAAGCAAGGAAAACATAACTGGAGTAAATCTGTATGTGAACCAAATGAGAATTGAACATGTCTCACGGTACAACTACTTGAGAACTATAATCAATGAGTCGTCGGACAATACCGAAGAGACTAATGTCGCAATTGAAGATCAAAGAGTGCATTCTTGACTATGAGCTCTATGTTCAAGATCCATGACCCTCACTCTAGAAACAAAAAAAGGGCTCCTTAAATGTTACGTGTACTCAGTGCTTCTGTACGGAGTAGAAACGTGAGCATTGAAGGCGGAAACTCTATCGAAACTTCAGGCTTTTAAGGTATGGTTATACAGAAGGATCCTGAAGATACCATGGCCAGACAAAGTGACCAATGAAGAAGTACTACGTAGGATGAACACAACCGCGGATTTGGTCAACATCGTGAAGGGCCGTAATCTGCAGTACATGGGACATATAATGAGAAATCAAGGCAGATATGAACTACTCCAATGCATTTTGCACGGTAAAATTAAAGCGAAAAAGGCCCCAGGAAGAAGAATATCCTAGCTTGTTAATCTGAGAGCATGGTATAGAAAGACCTTAACACAGATATTCCCTATAGCAACCAACAAAGTCATCATATCCAGAATTATCGCCAACGTTCGAAACGACAGGCACCCTAAGAACAAGAAGTCATAGTCACGAATGTTTTTCAGACAGGATATTTGTGTTCTAGCCATTTTTCCTTCGATTTTACCCTTCATAACCAGCTGCAACAATTCGTACTTCTCATTTCTAAGTATCTGTCCCAAATATGCCGTCTTTCTCCTTTTAATGGTGGTCAAAAGTTCTTTGTCTCTTCCCATTCTGTGCAAAACCATTTCGTTCGTGATATGATCTGTCGATGGTATTTTCAAAATTTTTCAAAAAATCCACATCAAGTTTCCAACTTCTTCATTGATGAATCTTTGTAATATCTTAATAATAAAATATATTGTTGGTAGACAATAGTACAATGCCAAATTTGTTGTTGAATATAAAAAAAGTGAGCAATGAATTCGTGAAAATTAATTTTAAGAAGGTGACAAAAGAAAAAAATTACAGAACTATTAGCTATCTGCTGAAATAAAGTTTTCCAACGTTGAAGTTTCTCTCACTTCAAGAAAAGAACCGGAAGAAGACAGCAATATTACATTTTTCTGTTATATACATAACATTTCGTATATATTATAAAAAAATATTTACTTACTTGTAAAATCCCTGATGCCATGGTAAATAGCTAAGAACTACGATTGCTGTTTCAGATTTAGGATCATGTCTACAAAAGCCAAAAGTCCATTTTGATTCCAAGTCTGTCAGCACAAACGAATAGTGTTGTATCACATCACTTAAAAATAAAATTGATGTAAGATTTATTTGTCCTTTAATTAAATCTGCTCTACATAGAGGTGTTCTGTTGAGTGTTATAAAATATTCTCAAAATAATAACGGAATCTTTTATACGATACTTTTACTGTGAAAATTTATAATCTTTGTTTTATATTTATGATTCAATAATAATTTAAAAGTATAAATTTACTATTCTATATGTGTAGTTTAAATGATCTAAAATAGACATAAGTAGACTTAGGCAACTATGCAAATTGCATATTTTGCACATAATGCATAAAAAATGCAAAAATTTCAAATTTTGCATCTTTTATAAAAGTGAGCATAAAGTGCATGTAATATGTATATATTTTTTAGATTTCATCTGAAAAAAATTCAAATAGATCAGCATGTCAGAACCGCGAAACATTTAGTTAAAAAAGTAAAAACCACATCCGGTGAAAAATATGAACCTTCAGTGTCCAAGCGCTCTCAGTCAAGTTCCAAAAAACAAACCGAACAAGAAACTTTTAACGAAGACTTGTGTCGTGCATTAGTATCTTCTAATATACCGCTTTCAAAATTATCTAATGAAAACTTTAGTTCTTTAAAAAAAAAATGTTGAAAACAAAACATTCCCAGTGAACGAACTCTAAAGAGAAATAATGTCAATTTGTTATACTTCTCAGTTATCCACAACATAAAAGCCGAAATAGGTAATAATTACTTTTACATATGTGTGGACGAGACCACTGACTCGTCAGGAAGATACATTGTACACTTATTGATTGGTGTACAATGAAAAATGCACAAAATCTTATTTAATTTCCTGTAAGCAAGTGGAAAAAACCAACGCTCTAACAATATCACGGTTTCTACAAGAAGCATTAGCAAACTTTTTTCTTCCTGCTGCTATGACAAATGATAAATTATTGCTTATTTTATCTCATGCCGCACCATATATGGTGAAAGCAGGATAAAATTTAAAAATATTTTAACCAAACTTAATACATGCCGCTTGTTTAGCGCATGGAATAAACAGAGTTGTGGAGGAAGTAAGAAAAAAAAATTCCACTAGTTAACAGTTTAATAGCGAGCGTCAAAAAGCTATTCCTGAAATCACCTGTAAGAAAACAATGTTACAGAGATATGCGTCCTGCTGTTCCACTGCCACCGCAACCCATTTCAACAGGTTGGGAAACATGGTTGAAAGCAGCTAATTTCTATGCTGATCATTTTGTTGATTTAAAAAAACATAATTAACCTTTTGCCTAAGCAAGCCTTCCAAAATAACATCCTCCAACAGCAACTGTCATTCATAAAATCAAATTATAGTTTTGTCCAGAAAACTATATCTTAATTATAATCCTCCAAATTATCATTGTTAGAGAATATAGTTTACAGAGTACAGACTATCGAAAAATATTCAAAACCCAGATGGGAATTACTACATGGAATATCAGGTCGCTCAACTTGAAACCAAAAAATAACTCAAGTGCTGAAAGAGAAACAAATAAACATTTGCGCTCTAAAGGAAACAAAAAAAGAAAGAAAAAGGACAATCAAAATGAGATGTCATCAAATGACACCTCAGCAATGGACAATCAAATGTTATACCAGCAAATTTACTAAGATCTAAATTGGAGTTGCAAGGTCAGATAATAGAACAAGTGATGGAGTTTAAATATCTCGGCATCACATTATCTAGCTACGGAATGTTCGAAACAGAAGTAGACGATCTAGTGAATAGAGCAAACAGAGCCGCAAGTTGCCTGAATAAAACAATATGGAGAAATAAAAATATCGGGAAATAAAGACAAAATTTACAAAACAGTCATCAGACCAATAATGATATACGCGGCAGAAAGACGACCTGACACAGAGAGGACAAAAATGATGTTAGAAACGGTAGAGATGAAAACAATTAAAAAATCGGTGGTAAAACACCGGGACAGAGCTCATCATCATCATCATCAATCAGCCCTGAGTTGTCCATTGTTGAACATAGGCCTCCTCTAGACTTTTCCATCTGCTTCTGTTCTGCGCCTCTGCTATCCAATTGGTCACGATTCTTTTGAGGTCGTCGGTCCATCGCGTTGGGAGTCTTCCTCGGCTTCGCTTGTCAGCCTGTGGTCTCCACTCAAGCAATTTTTTTGTCCAACGTCGTCTTTCATTCTTGCAACATGTCCTGCTCATTTCCATTTTTGCCTTGTAATATGTTCGATAATGTCTTCCACTCCGGTTCGTCTACGAACTTCCTCGTTTCTTATTCTATTTCTTAAGCTTATTCCAAGCATTGATCTCTCCATCTTTCGTTGTGTCCGTCTCAATTTTTCGGCTGATGTTTTTGTGAGAGTTAAGGTTTCTACCTTACGGACAGAGCTAGAAGTAAGGATATACGGCGTAGATGCAAGTTGGAGAATATCAAGAACTGCGTAAGAAATAGAAGAGTAGAATAGAACGATCATATAAGCCGAATGATAACAAATAGAGTAGTAAATACGGCAAGAGACTGTTCCCCAATGGGAAGACGATCAAAAGAAAGACCACGAAAACCATGGAATGACAACTTATTGGAGGCACATTGAAAAACAGATAGTCATGTCTATATAAAAAGAAGAAGATAAAAAAGTTAACAATATTCTCAGCCTTTAATTCTTGATAATTTTTGCAGTTTTGTGTAATTGGTAGTACATAGTATCATAGTAATGGCAACAAACATTTGCCACATTGGTCTACCTTTTACTCTATTTTCTTCTTTTTTAAACAGCATCATCCATGAAATGAATTTATTCTAAAAAAAAATAGAGAATCTCTTTAGCTGCAGCATATTTTAGTTTTTAAAAGGGAGAATCGTAAAATATAAATAGAATATATAGGGCTAGATATATATAGATTCATCTCTTGTAAGTAAAGATTTCTAATGATATAAATAAAATTAGAACAACTTCGACGATGTCCATTCACTTTATATTTAAGGGATACACAGGAAATGACTGTTAGAAGTGATGAGACAGTAAAATATGGCATCTCTAGTAGTACAAGATCCCACTGCAGGATCACTACGTTCATAACGTAGTTCAACAAACTCACATTTTTACATACGTTTGATAATAGGTTGCCAGTCAAATAGTGGCAACAAATATTTTTAATTCAATTAATAGTAGGCAAGTAATTAGTTTGTGACAAATATTTTATTTCGTTAATTTATTTGTTAAATAAAATACGCTGCCTATGACGTATATGCATGTTTTTTATATTAAATTAAAGCTAATTTTTTTCTTAATATGATGATATAAGGTTACCTAAAAAAAATGGTCGAAAATTAGATTTGCCAGCTGCTAAAAACGCGATGTATCAAAGATAAAGTAAAATAAAGCTAGGGCGGAACGACACTGGTTTGGCAAGTGATAATATGTATATTATTATATATCTATTGACGCATGCTTTTAAAAACTCACACAACTGACACTTCAAATTAGTAGCGTTGCGCGCTGGCTGTCTTGTATTTTATATTTGATACCTCGCGTTTTTAACAACTGAAAACCCTCATTTTCGACCCATTTTTTCTTAGGAAAACTTATATCATCATATTAAGAAAACAATTAGCTTTAATTTGATATATAAAACAGCATATCCGTCATGAGCAGCGTATTTTATTAAAAAAATAAATGAACGAAAAACAATATTTGTCAAAAACTAATTATGTACTATAAAAATATTTGAGGCTACTCTTTGACTGGCAACCTATTATCAATGTGTTCTGCTAATTTTAAATGTAAGTAAAAATGTGAGTTTGATTAACTACGTTAAGAACGTACTGATTCTGCAGTGGAATCTTAGGCTATAGTAAAAAAACTTTTTTAATCAAATCTCCAACAATGTGATAAATGAATAACATCGTTTATAGAAATTTAAAACACAGCAAATATTTTTCTAATTTCTTATCTCCAGCAGCTGCTTATCATTTTATATTAAATAGGTTATTACAGATATTTATAAAAAAAACCAATATTAAACAGTGAGTGAATAAATTGGCAATACTTTTTAAAAATAGACAAAGTTGGAGAAAAACTATTAACGAATAAATCAATCGAAATTTGTATACTATTAATAAACACATTATATTTATTAGATAATTGATCATATATACGACCTAAAATACTTTAATCTTGAAAGAGAAACTCACATCAACTACAACCTGTAGGTGAAGGGTACAGGGGTCAGTAAACTATAGCAGCCTTCTTTTGTCTTGTGGAATTGTTGGCTTATAGAAAACCAAGACTAAGAAAATTATATATCCTGAATTATAATTCAGAAGTGCTCCAATTCTCAACTGGGACCTCCTCCATGTATATCAATACCAATGTTTTCTATTGAGGGATTGATTTATGAACCAATCGAAATCAACCATATACTAGTACTTTAGGTGGTGGTAAAACATACAAGCCTTGGTTTCTACCCCATGCTTATCCATAGAGACAGCTGATTTCAACGAGTGAAAATGTATGACTATTAGCACTTTTTCCACATATTTTTTTTAGAAGAAAATATATAATTTTGGTGCTAACAATGTTAGCAGCAACCTACAGCAGCCTTCTTTTGTCTGGTGGATTTGTTGACTTACAGAAAATAGTAAGACTAAGAAAATGATATATCCTGAATTAAAATCCACAAGTCCTCCAATTCTCAACTGGGACCTCCTCTATGTATATCAATACCAACTTCTGCTATTGAGAGATTGATTTATGAACCAAACGAAATCAATGGCATACTAGTACTTTAGATAGTGATGAAACATGCAAGTCTTAGTTTCTGTCTCATGCTTATCCATAGAGACAGCCGAATTACTCGTTTCAACTAGTGGAAATATATGAATATTAGGACTTTTCCTCATATTTTTTTGTGGAAGAAAATATATATTTGTGCTGCTAACAATGTCTTTTTGAGAGAAAATTTGAGTAAAACATTGTTCGAATGAATGGTTTATAACATGTTCTATAAGAAGCCTTTAAGATGTTTTACTTTTCATAACAGAAACGAACTTCTATCAATTCTTATTTCTATTCGGTGTAAGCAAAAGAAAAGCTGTAGAAAACTACAAAAATTTAACAAAAATGCAATGGTTTGTTAATTACATCCTTAATTTCAACCTAAAATATTTGATTGTCACCTCTATAAGTGCCACAATCTGAAGCTTTCCTGTAGATAAAAAAATACGTTCCTCTTTTTGTTTACTGCAAAGTTCCAGGTTGAGATGTTTACTGGCTGGAATTTTAAAGTTCAACTTAAAGATGTTTTAACAAAGTTTAAAAGTTTTAAGTTAAAAAGGGTAGGAAATTGTACTGACTATTAAAAAGAGGAAACTGTCGATTACTTTAACTTATAATGCAAGGAAAGATAAGTGGAAGAAGATTCATAGGATGGAGGGAAATTCCTGGTTAAAAAATCTGTGCGAATGGTTTAACATCCCCAATAACCATCTGTTTAGAGACGTAGTCTCAATAACGTATAGCCTTGATGATTGCTAATCTTCGGAAGGAAGACTCTGAAGGCACTGACGAAATAAGAAAATATGACTTATCATTTACTTTTTACAACATAGTATCATTTTCGATCAATGTACTTAATATGACGTTTTTCTAACTTTTATTGCTTCTCAAAAGTAATTTGGCTCGAGCTCTTCAAAGTAATGAGAAGCATATTACTTACTAAAATGTAAGTAGAGCCATTAACATGTTATGAACCTATATTGTTAAGATTTTCTTATTAGTAATGGCATATTTAATTTGTGCCTGTACAATTAGTAGATTGTGTTACATGTATGTGTCACCTTCCTCAATTTCTTGTTGTACTGTACTCTATGGTAATAAACTTTGTTGGTATGCCAATAGGGGAGTGCAAAAGAAATTAAAAACAAATCATTAACTATGTCTCAATTGCTTAACATATTACTTATACATTTAATTTAATACTCTCTAAGTGTTTTGGATGGTAATACCATTGAGTGTCTTACAAATAAAACAGGCACACACCATTACTTTTCTTTATTCTAAAGTTTGAATGTTCTTTGTCTTTCTGACTTCCATCCTAAGGAAATTACTCTCTCTCTCTAACTGATCTTTGTGAGTATGGTAGAAAGGTGAGCAAATAAATTATACATATTCAAGAAGAGACCTGACAAGGTAAGAATACACAGTTTTAGACAAATTTATTGAGGAAAGAACACAATTTTTTAACAAAGACAAGGATTCTTATTCCCAGCAAACATATTGCAACAATAGCCTCTAAAAAAGTGGCCTTCCATCATACAAAACACTCAGATCTTTAACTGTGTACTTCTACTTTAGATTTGTGTTATTGGTACTTGACAACAACCTATGGCTGCAATTAAAGAAGCCTATGAAAAGCTCTTGTTTACATTTAGAACTTGTATCAACAATCTGTGAATAACACAGGATTTGACCTCAGCCTATATTCTTCTCTAAACCTTAAAACAATGATATTATATTGTTATTGAAAGCCAAGACTGTAAATTTAACAAAAACAAGCTCATCACATGGCTTCAAATTTTACTATTGGGAAGAACATAGGCCATATGGATTGATGGATGTGTTCCTGTTGGGTCATTGTCAATTTTTATCAAAGACATTAGATAAATAAGTGTAGGTAGCAATCAACTGATTACCATTCACTAATCTATAATATATCAATATTACTACAAATTAGAAAGAGAGAAATGTCAGGTATTATTTCAAATAAATTAACTTTACTTTGTTGTTATTAACTGTAAACTTATTAAATGGATATTAACAGACTACTGAAGAGAAATACATGGCTATAAACTTGGCAGGATTTTTACAATTAGGTGATGTAAAAATATTGGTTGAAAATAACCATTCTCCACTCTAAACCACAAAGTAGAATGAAAATGTAAAATATATTTTATGCACCTACAAAGAATAAGTGTATTATGTTAAATCAATCTGTAAGGGAAAAATGTTCATTTTGTTTATTAGATTAAAAACTAGAGGATCTGTTAATTGCAGTTCAACAACACGAACTCGTGCAGTTACAATTATAGACACTATTTTGGCTGTAAATAAGACTTGAACATTTGCCAAGTAGTAAGATAACTTGTAAATATTTACACTATAAGATAAAAACAGAACACCACTAGTAGAACCTTAAATACATAAGGTACATTCTACCATTCTACGTACTTTTCAAATTTATATGGATAAGCAAATTTCGGTACAGCTTTTAAAACTTCCTCGTCCTTGTACTTTTCCGGATACTGTTGTATAATCCATGGCTCATTTTTACCTCTTGGAGGAACAACTTCGCAGAAACATTCAAAAAAATGTTTCACGTTCTCCCTGGAAGAGAAATAGATGCCTTTGAATTTGCTATTGCGTAAAGAAATTTCGCCCCCGCTTAGGAATAATAAAAAAGACTTACCTTATTCTAGAGCCCATCACTGAGTGAAATACACTATTAACATAACTTCATTATAACACTTTTCACTAAGATTTATAACCGGGATGCACTATATTTTTATGTTCAATAGAACACATTCAATTAAACGCAAAAAAACTGTTTTAAATGGATTATTATCCTAACTGTATACATAGAGAAAGTTCACATATGAAGATTATCTGACAACTGCAAAATGCAACTGACAACCTGACAGAGTTGTCATTGATGACATTTAATTATAACCCTGACATCTTATGGTGAATTTACAAACCGTTTAGGAAGTGTCTACTATCTGTATCAGAAGTTTTTATTAAATTATATTTATTTCTTAGTTTTTGTTATATTAATTTGTAACAATATTTAGAATACCTGAGTATTCTAAATAAACTAACTATTACATTTTGTAACCCTAGGATAGATTAACTAAAATCTAAGATTTTTGGAAAGTTTTCCTAAATAATAACGACCCTGCTCCTATTCGCTTTAGGGCAGTGTTTTCTTATTATAATAAAAAACAATGAATATTGATAAATAAACTTAATTCCGTACGAACTTTTCCCAGATGTTGTGTTTTTAAATTTGTGTTCACTTTCTGCGTGCACGGAATAATTTTTCTATGAAAGGATTTCGTTTATTTTCCTAGGCATAAAATAACGATTTTTTAAGTATATTTCTGGTCAATACTTTGCCATATAATTTACATTTTGTTTAAAATTATTATGTAATATTGGTTGTTTAAGCTAGATAACTTATAGAACATAGTTTTTGGTTTTCTAGACACCATCCATCCTTAATGTAAACATAACCTTAATTAAAACTAAAAACTGTCACGAAGACACCAAGTTTTAAAGTAGGAAGACTTACATTTTTTTTAATTTTGTGTATTGAAACTATGAGGCTTCGACAAAATATATTTCCAAAATGTGTAAGAGACTTTTTTGTGACTGGCTTTTTATTGGTAATGATTCCTGTAGTATATTATTTTGAACTATTTGTTGTTTTACCACGGTACTATATACAATGGAGTGCATCTTATAATTTCCATTTTTTAATGGGAACTATGATACTATTTAACATCTGTACGAATCTGGTAGCAATAGCTATGTGTGACACTAGTATCAGGGGAAGAGTATTGCCAACAGACTTAAAACCAGACTGGAAATTTTGTTCAGTATGTGAATCTGTGGCTCCGCCAAGATCATGGCATTGTTCAGTGTGCAATGTATGTATCCTCAAGAGAGACCACCACTGCATGTTTACCAGTTACTGTGTAGGATTAGAAAATCATAGATATTTTATGGTATTCTTATTGTACATGCTAATAGCTACATTATATGCATCATTTTACAATATGAGATTTATTAGCCATTTCATTACATTTGATTTTTCATGGAAATCTATATTCAAAATTGTGTTTCCTTTAGCAACATTATTTATGGATTGGACCCAAAATCAGTTATTTATATTTTTGATTCTTATTGTATTGTTTGGGGCTGGTTTTAGTGGTGCCTTGTTATATTTTCATGTAGATTTAATGTTCAGAAGTGTAGTCACTCATGAGCGCAATACTATCAGTAAATATGACAGAGGTAGATTAGAAAATGTAAAGCTAGTTTTAGGAGAAAAATGGTATTTAGTTTGGCTATCCCCCTGGATTGAAAGCAAATTACCTTGTGATGGTATTAACTGGGATAAGATATTGTCAACCAAAGAAAAATAATAGTTTTGATAATGCATATTAAAGATATTTTGTTAATAACTGTTAGAAACCTTAATTTTGGATATATAAAACAAAAAGTACCTGCAAATATACATATTCCTATGAATATTTTTAAACATATTTTCTGAGTTCATTTTAGGGTGATACTAAAATGGTAAACAGGGAACAAATAGTGCAAAATGAGGAGGAAGTAGGTGTAAATGATTTTTACTTTTTATTATTATCTTCAAGTGTTCTTGCCTCTGTTTTAATTCTCTTAAATAGTCAACACCTCTTTTGTCACTTTTAAAAAGTTCACTAGGCAGTGGCACACCCAGAGGGGTTTTGGGGGTTAAACTGAATCAACACATTACTCACAATTTTTTTTAAGAAGTCAACATAGAGGTAGCATAAAAAAATTTCGGTGCCCAACCAAACCCCCTCCCCCCACAGGAAAATTCTCGGTGCGCCATTGTTTTTGACCAATTATTTAGGTAGATTGACCTTATCTAAAAACCATGTAATCATAGGACCTAGTAAGTTGCCAGCATCAGTTCAGTAAGTGTCAATATTCTTTGCTAGAATAGCATCCCAGAATTTACTCCCCATTCTTATATCTTTCTCTGTATCTCCTTACAGACACATATTACTTTAAGCTACCCCAATGTTTTTATGATTTTTCTCACAGCTGATACTAATTATTAATAAACTAGTTCTGCTAACTTGGGGATAATTTTTTTTGAATTTCCTCATTCTGAGATGCCTTGCATGATTTACCACTTCATCACCAGCTAGCTTGTGATTAGCTCAATTTAATACTTCAAACATAGTATTGGTTCCATGAAAAGCCCTTTAGTGCCAATAATTATTACAAGAAATTGGTGTGTCTTTTATTATCCCTTTTGTTACACTTTCACTAAACATTTATCTTTATTACATGATCTCTATCTCAGATATTCTTCAGACATGTAGAAATACTTCTGAATAAAATTTTATGTACTTTTATAGAAAATTTTTAACAACTTATTTAAATTTAGTATAAGTTTAAAAGAGGAAAAAAGAAATATTGGAGTTTCTTATCAGAATTTTAGGCTCCCATTCCAGTTTTATAATACAGCGACCAATGACGTATAATACATATAATATGTATGTATGACATATAATACGTATAATATATGACATATTATATAATCGAGTGTCCGAAAGATCTACTCTCAAGGTTGAAGGTATGTTTACCAGAACAGCGGCGTGCTCATTTAAATGTTAATGACAATAATTATTTTTTTTAATTAAAATTAAATATTTATGATTTCTTTTTGTTCCCGTCTATAAGAGAAATAATTATTTTGATAAAATAGTATGGCGTTTTACTAAAATAGTAAGTAAATAACTCTCAACAATTTAAAATAAAATTTGCTTGTCACATAAAATATGTAAACACACAAAATGGAGAAAATGTTTTCATACGTCCATGATGTTTTCAAACACAAGATCAACTTCGTGATGCTTCGTAAGAAATCATGAACTTCATGCATCTTCGTATCAAAACAAAACAATAACAAAGGTATTCATGTTGTGGACACTTTTTAAAGCATTCACCGGGTCTATATATTATACGTCATTGACAGTGACTTAATTTTTTATAGATATGCTGTGAATTTGTTGCTGTATCCTAGTAGTTGTCTCTATGTAGGCCTGTTATCACGTAGTAACATGTTACCAAAACTTATTGACAATATGTTTCTAATGACATGTTGATAACTTTTAAGTTTATTAAGATTGCAAGCAGTAAGTAACATTTTTATAACCCAGTCAATTTCAACATATCTGACGAAAATTATATGTACTTTTCACTGCTGCCGCTTGTGTAGTTTTAGTGTGCAAAATTTTGAATTATTAATCAGTTTTTGAATAAAGAAACAATAAAACAATTTTATTTTTATAATTACATTAATTTTTTAATTTTTTGAGCCTTCAGCTTGTTTTTATCTTTTGAAAACATCAAACTATTAAATGTGAGCCACCTGCTCATGTAAACGCTTAATTCCATCCCCTGAATGAGATCTACTTTTCTTAACTTCCCTCTGAAATTGTTTTTAATTTTTTTTCTGCCGCATATTTTTGTATTTCCATTGTTGTCACTATCTGGGTAAATGCATCACTCTTAATTTGCCAATTTTTATAATCTTTGTGACATGGCAATCCCACAATACTCTATTGTCTCTACTTTATCTATGTTGATTTTTAGTAGAATTTCGGTAACATGTTAAATAACATTGTTAATAACTAAGTGAAGACGCGCCTTAATAATTAAAGAAGCTCTTTTATATTTCTTCCTCAACATATAGTATATAGTTACAAATATACCATGTTATGCTCATTATAAACTGTATAGGATGGCACTTTTGTACGACTTTTATCCTAACAGGTTTGGCACATCCATCTGATTTTCCAAAAACTGCAATAGGTACTTATCAAGAGGTAAAGTAGATGAGACAAAGCTCAACTGTTCTGTTAGTGAATTAAACTAGGACAGAAGTGTACTGTTTTAGTCCCCTTAATCATTGATTGTACTTTTGTACTGTATTAATAAAACATTTAGATGATTTTATTTTTTCAGAGAATGTAACTAGATTTTTATGACTTGTTACTAAAGTAGATCCACAGATCTTCTTGTGGATTAGATTACATTGTAGATTAGATACATTGAGCATCCTATGCTACCATATTGACATTTTGGGCCGCAACTGAAAAAAAGAGTTCTTTTACTCATATAGTGTGTAAAAGAACTCTAATAAAAAAAAGGTTTATTCATTTATTAATTTTTTTTGTAGAGTTCACTACTTTTATTAATTTAATTATTTAATATTTTTAATGGATTAATAAAATCGAACTATGAATATTATTTTAATACAGTTACTAGCAAAATATATTTAACGAAATTTAGGTATTATTATTATTATTAGATGTTTTTATACTAGTTCTTCAACAATAAAATCTTATGTACACAAAAAATGACTGAATAGTTTGTTTGCTTTTAGTAAGTTAATGTAAATGTAATTTAGAATTCTAAAACTGATGTACTGAACAATTTACACTAATAAAATGTTTATATATCTTTTAGTTGTGTAAATGTACTATATATTAAGGTTTCTGTAGTATCTGTTTTTATATTTTTATTATTTAATAATCTGATGTTAATTTTTGAATCACTCATACGGTACTTACAGCCCATCGAGCAAAAAGACAGAAGAGGGAATGTGAAGGTTGTGGGGGCAAAAATATTGTTAGACGGGAAGTGCTATTTTGAGAGGCCACATTAAACAAGGAAAGAGAGTCACTTTACTTGTTTAAGAAGTCAAATTTAGTTGTGTTATGTTATTGTTTGCCCCAACTGCCACATGAAAGCCATCCATAATATATTGAAGTTTTTTAACAATCGTGTCACATTTTAGACTATTATTGTTATTATTTAATTACAACTTTCTCGTCAAGACTCACTCTG